AATAACCCATTTAAACTCATGATTAGTCACAGGCTCTTTTGGTTAAGCATTTATGTTTCATCCGTCAAGGCAATTCTGCTTAACAATCCATTTGTAGATCCACTTGTGAGTCTTACAGCAGCCATTCATTCGGTACTGATCTACCATTTAATGCCAGGGTTTAGTCGAATGTCTTTAAATGGATGTTTTTAACCAATTATTAGGCTATCAGCCAAGCTGTGGAATCATGGATTTGGTTTTCTGGTTCACATGTTTTTTATGGCTCTGGAGAATGATTTAAACTGTGTTCCTTGACCTTGACACATTTTCTGAGGATGCAGGTCAAGGGTACTGATGTAATGGGTTTTGTGTAATCACTTAATACTGTGTCCAGTATGTTGCAATGTTGCTTCTGAGTTGCCCTCTTAATTGTAGTACTTTGTAACCTAAACTGAGATATGCATAATACAGTAAAGGATGGGTTTATATTTGGTCGCATTGTTTTTCCTACCTAACAAATAATGATTTTCCATTGTTGTTTAATAAAAAAAGACCTTGATTTTAAAGATTTTTCCAAACATGGTCCAAAAAAAAGCAAACAGACAGTAAATAAATTGTATAATTTCCTGTGTTTTTCCCAGGGAGATTCAGAAACCTGGCAGGCACCTTTTCTTAATCCAAGTTTTAAGATAGCTCCGTGCCTTGGATGATTTTCTCTAAACAGAAATTATAACAGAATACTCATGTCGACCAAACTCAGTATGTCTCAGGTGAAAAACATGAACACTTTCTGCATTTATTATTTTCCTGGCTGTCATTTGAAAAGAAATTTTCTGTATCTTCAGGCCAGGATGGAGCAAACTCAGTATAATTTATTTCTCTTCCACATCGCTGAAATTAATTTATGTCTAATGTATTTTTCTGTCATAATGGCTGTGAGTGTGGCTCTTGCACCTCTGAGACTGGAAATATTTAAATCTAATAAGTTCCGGGCAAGGGATCCAGTCACTAGTCATTAGATATTTTGAAGTTCTATAGTTAATGTGAACTGTCACCTGAATTAATCTGTTTTTCCTAATTTATTTTTTTTGCTCTTATTCCGTTGCCTGTCAAAAGTGACTAAATAAATCCTTATTTTTGTGTCCTGCTTACACTTGCCTATTTTCTTTCTGATAGTATAAAGTGGCATCTGTTATTCTCATTTCCTGCTGTCCCACCACCCTCTCAGCATAGGTCATGAGCCCCATTATTTTGCATAATGCACATCATCAAAGAGCCAGTATCCGCCTGCATCATGAGTGCTGCAGTTCTCCTGCTCATGCCGACTGATTGATCTCCTCCTCTACTTCCTGTTGAAAGAGACTACCTTGTTTTTTTCACTATCCCAGTACATGTCCTCTCTCATTATCATTGGTATCATCTACCCTTTGTGTCTATTAGCAACTATCAGACCTGTGTTTTCTCCAGCTAGGTATTAATCACATCATGAGGTCTCATAGGGAACACAGCAGAACCAAGATATTTTATGGGACTTGAATCTGCTTCATGTAATCATTTTTGAGTCATTTCCATAATACTATTCAAAATATTATCATCTTTCTAAAGAAAGGTTTTCTTTGATATTTTGGTGATTAATCTGTGCTTTCATTTAATATTAAATGCTTTGTATTTTTGGGCAGCTGCAGTCAAAACCTGGTAGAACGATAGCTACGTTGATTTGAACCCCAGGTGAAGATGTGTTAAAAGAATATCATAAAATCTATCTTTTTTTGCATAAGCATAATCTAATCTTAAGACAGAGGAAAAATACTTTTTAATATACAGTAGGTGCATTTATTCAACAGGAGAAGAGAAACCAGTATTAGGGAAGATTTGTTTTCAACAACAAAAAAAAGACATCCAAAGAATAAATAACCAATATACAGCTGTTGACATGTTTACAGTAGTCGATATGGGAAAATAGCAGCAACATCAGAGGTGTCCAAAATGACAGCAGCATATTATGCAACTGACTAAGACATGGGCTAAAATCAGCATGAATGCAACAACCTATTAAGGTTGTTGGGAACAATGATGGTTATAAGGTCTTACAGCTGCTGGGAGGAAGGATCTGTGTCAACGCTCTCTGGTGCATTTACTGTAGGGTGCAGCAGTCAGTCACTAAAGGAGCTCTCCAGTTCAGCAACAGCTTCATGCATGTGGTGGGAGAAATTATCTGACAGAGATGTTATTTTGGTTAGGATCCTTTTGTTTCCAACCTCCTGCACTGAGTCCAGAGGGCATCCAATCACAGAGCTGGCCTTTCTGATCATCTTATCCTGCCGCTTTCTCTCAGCTACAGATAAGCTATTGCTCCAACAGACAGCTCCATAGAAGATGGCTGATGCAAAGAAGATATTCAGGAGTATCCCCTGCTCTGCAAAATACCTGAGTCTCCTCAACTGGAAGAGTCTGCTCTGACCTTTCTTATACAGAGCCTCAGTGATGTGAGGTCAGTCCAGCTTGTTGTTCAGGTCAACACCCAGGTACTTATGAGAGTCGACTCTCTCAATGTCTGTTCCCTGGATGTTCCCTGGTGTCACTGGGGTGGATCTGCTTCTGCAAAGTCCACCACCAGCTCCTTGGTTTGCTTTTTCTTTTTTTCTTTTTTTTTTTTTTACATTGTCCTGTCTGGGGATGTGGCAATAAGAATAATTGTCTTGATGCCAAAAAGAGCCCAACAGATTTTACTTTCACAAGTGGAGCAGTACGGCTATCGCCATAGTGTTTCGCTTGATTTATGCATATTAACTGCTTTATTATAATTATGCAGGGAATTTTACAGATTATATGGACACTGCAATGTACTGTAGGTAGAACAGGAAAGGAAAAACAGAACAATAAGGAGTAAAGATGAAAGAAAGAGGAGATAAAAGGGAGATAATAATAAAACATTTTCAGTCTGCTTCTTCACCTGTAAAGAGATGTAAAAAGAACAGCACAACCAACGGACATGGTACGAGACATACAATAAAGTAACTACTAGATACTATCGCTAAAGTATAAGTAGTATTATTTAATCTGACATGTATTCGGTGTTACCAGAAGATAAGAATATGGGCTCTCTGTATGGAAGTGAATCTCAAGTACCTGCCACCAAGCACCTTTAGTTGTTTGTTAGAGTGCACTTGTGCATGTGAAGTTTATCCAAAGAAAAAATGCTCAATAAGGAAGTGGTTCTGCAGGCGCCAGACCAGGAAGTCCTGGGTCCACTGCTGTACTCTAAGTCGTTCCCATCCGTGTTGAGGCCAACTGTGGTAGAGTCAACGGAGAGAGTTGTTGGAGAAAACTGCAGTGTAGAGCACTTGCTTGTCCCTTAGGAGTCCTGGCTAGATGGTGTTGAAAGCACTGGAGAAATCAAATAACATGATCCTCAGAGTGCTTCCAGGTTTCTCGAGGTTAGTCAGAGCTTTGTGCAGGAGGAAGAGGATGGCATCATCTGCCCTATAAGGCTGGTAGGCAAACTGCAGCGGATCAAATTAAGTCTTCCCCAGGGGCTTAGATGGTGTAAGACCAGCCAATGGTTTAAGACCAGCCGTTCGAGGGTAAGTCAGGGCTACTGGCCTGTAGCTGCTGAGTTCCTTCTAAGGTTTTGTCTTTGGTACAGGTACCACATAAGAGGTCTTCCACAGTGTTGGTACTTCCCATAGCCTCAGGCTTAAGTTGAACATGTAGCACAAGATGCTACACAATCCATCTGCACATCTCAGAAGCCTGGAGCTGATGCCATCTGGATCTGCAGCCTTTCACACCTTTAACTTCTGCTTATCTGAGATCTGGAAGGCAGGGAAGCAGTTGCAAGAGGGAGACCAAGATTACAGGAGGTCCTACTGTGTTTATAGACCAGACAGGTAGTATGTCAGGGGCTGCTCCTTAAGGCTGCTGTTAGGAAACTTCAAGATGGAGGCAACTAGGAAGCATCCTGAGCAAATGTCCAATAATACCATAACTTTTGTCCTTTAATGCAGATGACCTGTGACTATACATCCCGCTCCCTCTGGAGGATGAATCTCTAAAGGCACCCTAGGAAAAGATTTCATTTTGGCTGATCTTATCTGGGGTCTCTTTCTTCCAGTCATGATCATTGATCATTGACATTAGAAAAGGTAGAAGTTTGGACATAGACAGACTGATAAATACTTTACAGACAGTTCTTTCCTCACCACAACAAACCAGAGTTGGTTTGATGGTCTGGGTGAAAAAGCCAAAAACCATCTGTCTACTGTATCTCCTGCTTTATGCTGCCATCACTGATTATGAGCAGTCCAGTATTCCCAATAGAATTAAACCCCAGCAAATAAAATGAGTTGCTTAAGCACATAAAATTTGCTAAATTGAAAAAGTTTTGTAAAACATCAGAGAGACGTTCAAGATGCTGTGAAAATTGAATGGTGTATTAAAAGCTTTTTACCCTGCTGCGGAATCTGTACGACCTGTTAGAAAAGATTCAAGTCTTCTTTTCACTCTTATAGTAGTAAAATATTTTTTTTCAGCATTTATCAGATTTTTTGAAGTTGAAGATTGCAAAAATTAAAACTTTTGGTGCAAGTTTCATATAAAACTAAAAACAAACTAACTAAAAATTAGAGAGTTGAGAAGTTATTGATGGGGTTAAAATTAATGAAAGACCACATTAATTTTTAATCTAACAAGATGACAGTGAAATTGTTTTGTTGTTGTTTTTGCTCTTCCTCTGACTTTTTTCCTTTTTCGGTGTGGAGCTACCATATGCATTTCAGTGGACTGAATTATTTTTATTTAAACATCTGCTCCAAATACGTAATGCGTCCAAACATTGTAAAACAGAGATATATTTATAATTTCTACGACCCTTCCAGTATCTGTTTATATACATCAACTATGTTGGTCTCTTCCAATAAAAAAAAAGAAATCGGGGGCAGGTTTTTCGATCGCAGACTTATTTTGATACAGTTGCAATTCCAAAATCTGTCAGCAGGAGTCGCCCCATTTTTTTTCATCGAGTAATATGCTATGTCCCTAACGAGTTTCCGTCTTTCTCCTGACACGTAGCTACTACCGTGGAGTTGGCAGGGCTAAACTTAAAGTTGTCCAGCTGACATCACAGGTAGGAATTATAACCGTAAGGCTTTGTTGAAATAAATGTAATGTTTATGAATGTTAACTTAACTGGGATGAGAAAGCCTCATTTGGCTTCTTTACGTCAGAATTTTAAGTATGTGTAAGAGGTAGCGGAAGCTAACAAACTAGCTGCCGATTAAACAGGGCAGGTTAGCTTATTAATAATTAGAGGCTAGGACTCCAGTTTTCTCATTTTATCCTTACGTTTTCTAAACTCAAATCATTTAAGTATACTGCTGTATTATTATTATTTTACAGCGTTATTATTGTTCAGTAGGCTAACGGTTTGTCAAACGAAACTAATCAAAGCAGTGGGCACCGACAAATACAGAAACATGTATATTTGCCTCTTTGTTTTTAAATTAAGCTAGCATTATGTCATGAATTAGAACTGATCCATTCGCTAATGTGTATTTTTTGTTTTGCCGGTGTATAATTTAAGGTGCAGGAGATAACATTTTAGGGATGCTTGCACTGCCAGAGTTAGTTTCATTGGCTGTTAAAGACATTTCAGTCTACTTCATTATGAACAAGTTTAACTTTAAGGGTTGGTATATTATTATATAGGGCTTATATAGTGATAATGACTATTAGCAATATTTTCTGTCAAAAGAAAATAAAACCAAACTAATTCTCATTGCTGTGTTTAGCCATGGATGGATAATTGGCACGATCAAGTCAATTAATTCCCATAAACCTAACATATTGCATATCAGCTACTAGTTCCAGGGTTCCTGCAGATCCTTAAAAAGTCTTAAAAGGCATTGAATTCTTCAATATAAAAATAAGGACTTAATTGGTATTAAAATGTTTTAAATCAGTCTTTTATAGGTCTTATAATTGGCTCCAAGTCATAAATAGGATTCTATTTTTGTAATTCATATCAACAATTAAAATTATTCACGATCATTTTTTTTTTTTTTACACTATAGAAAGGCTTAGCTGTAACCATTATTAGTTTCATCCTGACATCAGAACCAATAAAAACAGTGTTGCAAACAGACCTTGGGGGTGATGCGCCAATAACTTTTTATTTGGACAACATGGGGAAGTGTAAATTCAATGTAAATTGGCTATCTAACAGAGAGTTTTCTGCATCGCTAAAAATAGAACCAGGTGATCTATATGAGGAGTGGCATATTTTGAGCAAGAAGTCATTCAAGCTCGGTACGATGGGAATCAAAGCTGTGATGTCAGGCATGCGAAGAGTGAAAAACAAAGTACCAAAATCAAGTTACAGAGAAGCAGCAGCTATTTCTCAGTTCTGTTCCACTCTTGCCTCTGCAAGGCCTCTACAGCCATCTGAGACGTAAAAAAAAAAATCACCAGTAGCACCAAATCTCCAGATAATGTTAGTGGTATGTCTACAATGAAAGCAGAGCTATTATGGACTTTGAGTAGGCATCAAAAGAAAGTGAACTCCATTCATTAGTTGTTAAAAATATATCTATTGGTGTGATTTTGGCTTTCTTCCTTTATGGAAAGTTTTTTAAAATTGTAAACATTTCTACTGGGCCAGAGAGTAATGGTTTATGTTAAAATAAGCATCAGGTTAAATGTGTCTTGTGTGTATTGTGAAGTTGGTCTTAAAGTTTTATTTCAGGGGACAAAAGAAAGTCTTAAAAAGGCTTGAATTTAACTTGCCTTATGTTGTAGGAACCCTGAGTTCATTTTGTCCATCACTTTCATTTGGGCCAGTTAACTTACTGATAAAATATTAGAGATAATGGCGTCCAGACAGATTTAACTTAGACTTAGAGTCAACTCTATTTATCCCTTGGGATTATTCCTTCTGGGAAAATCTGGTTCCAGTAGTTTAAATATAGTACAAAGAGTTAAAGCAAGATGCCATTAAAGATAACAATACAACAGACAAGAGTGAATATAGTAAAACTGTAAACACTTGCTTCCTTTATGGTGCATATGATTTACTGGAGATCTTAACAATCTTTGTTTTTTTGGTTTTACTGTAAACAATATATTTCTAAAAAAAAAATAACTTTAGGTCAGTGCTTGTCTAAGTGGATACAATGCATGGCTGAAACAATTAATCAGATTAATTGCGATAAATCGACGGTTGAAATGATCGTCAACTAATTTAGTAATCGATTAATTGTTAACTGGAGTTAAGAGACTCTAAACGTACCGATAGCTGACAGCGCAACCCACCTTGAGTAGCAATTATATCAAACTAATATATATATATATATATTAATATATATAGTAGTTTCAACTGGTATTTTCTCAAAAAGTCTTCTTTAAGGAACCTTTGCCTATCCGATCGTTAATTTAAAAAATAATGGATAGATTAATCGATTTGTAAAGAAAATTTTTTAGTTTCAGCCCAAGTACGAAGTCTTCCAAGCAGATTTAAAATGCATTTATCTTAACGGCTTAATTTCAAAATTATAAAATTCTGGGCCAACACTTGATCTTGACAATCTTTGTGGAATTGAACCATTTTAACTGTGTGAACCTTATATTACTGCACATAAAATGTCCTCAAAGTTGTCACAATAAAATCTATATTCATAAAAATAACGAGAGACAGATCGTTGGCCATGTTTAAAATAAACAGTAAAGCTTTTAGCTTTCCTTTGTGTCTCTTGTCCTAAACAGAGTAAGAAATGTCGGGGTTCGATAACTTCAACGCTGACTTCTATCAGTCCAGCTACAGCGTAGATGACCAAAACCAGGGCGGCTATGGCTACGGCAACTCTGAAAACGCCTACAAGTAAGAAAATAAAGCCTTTCCAGTTCCTGCAGTTGTGGCGTTCTGAGTCTTGATATCTATTTCTGTTTAATCTTTATCTTAAAAGTTTAACTCAAGCCTACAGATTAACATATGTGATGTTATTTGTTATGGCTGTGTTTGAAGTTCTATTTAAAAATCTCATGACCTGCTGTTTACTGTAAATATATATCGCCCTCAGGCCGTACGGTCAGTACGATTATTCGCAGCCCATGGGCTACCCATCCCCAGGAATGATGCCACCCCAGCAGCCGTATACCGGACAAATCTTCCAGCCCACACAGACCTACACCCCATCTGCATCACAGTCCATGTACAGTAATAGCTTTGACGACGAGCCGCCTCTGTTAGAAGGTAACAAAACTCATAACCAGAGCAGAATTTAAAATGTCAAATATTATGTTGCAAAATCTTTTGCTATATTTACAAACACCTTCAACAGCATCACCAAATAAAATGTAGACATTAATTAATGTATTTTTAGCCTAAATAATGAAACTGATAGTATTTTTTCTGTATATGATGCATTAAAGAGCCAAATTTAAAGGCTATGGTGCTCCGTAAAAAAAAAATATATATATATATAAAAGGTTTTAACAAGACCTAAAATAATTTTAGTGAGTTGTTGTAGATATGTGCGTGGAAAGGATTTCCATCTTATCATTAAAGAAATTTAAGGCTCATCTACCTTATTTTAGATTATTCTTTGTTGCTGTGTCTCTGAATTTGCCATTTAATCTTGACCACAAGTTTGTGCTCTTATTATAGATCATACACATCATTCCTACTGAGTTTGCTCCATCCTTGCCTGAAGATACAGAGAATTTCTTTTAAAATGACAGGCAGGAAAATAATAAATGCAGAAAGTGTTCATGTTTTTCACCTGAGACATACTGAGTTTGGTCGACATGAGTATTCGATTTCTGTTTAGAGAAAATCATCCAAGGCACGGAGCTATCTTAAAACTTGGATTAAGAAAAGGTGCCGGGTTTCTGAATTTCCCTGGGAAAAACACATGAAATTATGCAATTTATTTACTGTCTGTTTGCTTTTTCTTGGACCATGTTTGGAAAAATCTTTAAAATCAAGGTCTTTTTTTATGAAACGGAGACGGAAAATTGTTATGTGTTAGGTAGGAAAAACAATGCGACCAAATATAAACGCATCCTTCACTGATATAAATTCATTCTCACAAAAAAATATTTCACAAAATAAAGTATTATATTTATTCCTAAGCTTGAGATTGTGAAAGCATTTCCTTGATCAATGCTATTTCCAATCTATTTATTATTTTAAGAGTGTATTTTAAAATGAGCTAGTACACCTTTATATTATATTTGGGGATAAATTAGATCTTAGTGTCCTGCTTTACCTGTTTTGGCTACAATATTCCTGTATGTTACCATGGCAATTTAAATATACTGCCTTTTGTGCTCCAGTCAATTAGAACTGTCCAAATATTAACTAACATCACATTTCTTTTAAAGATAATGCCCAGAAGAAATTTGACATTTGTTTTTTTTTCTGAAAAGAGGACAAAAATGTTTTTAAAAAATGTTTTCTGTAAAAAAGAAAATATTCAGGAAAATATCTTCAGAAAATAAAGTTCCACACATACTAATATATTTTTTTGGTGAGATAATACTGAATAATATTATTTTTTCCTTTTTATTTTTAGAATTAGGGATCAATTTTGACCATATCTGGCAGAAGACCCTCACAGTTCTCCATCCTCTAAAGGCGGCAGATGGGAGCATCATGAATGAGACAGACCTGGCTGGTCCAATGGTCTTTTGTTTGGCCTTTGGGGCAACTCTGCTTCTGGTATATAATGAACTTAATTATTCTTTTCAGTCTTCACAATATGAGCTGAGTTCAATCAATAAACCCATACGCTCTGTCTAACACTTTTTTTGTTCCTTTCCGATAACAGTCAGGGAAGATTCAGTTTGGTTATGTGTACGGCATCAGTGCGATCGGTTGCCTCGCCATGTACTGCCTCCTGAACCTCATGAGCATGACCGGCGTGTCCTTTGGCTGCGTGGCCAGTGTGTTGGGATACTGCCTCCTTCCTATGATCATCCTCTCCAGCTTTGGAGTCCTCTTCTCATTACAGTAAGTTCAAAGCCAAACTGTATTGCAGGACTGCACTATGTGGGATTTATTTTTGTCTTTAAAACAGATCAGAATCCTCAAAGAATGGGGCTTAATCAATATAAAATGTTGCATAACCTAGCAGTCATGTCTTTCACTTGAATTAAACCACTATGCCTTATGTTTTTAACTGCTGATTCCAACATTATGATGTCTTGCTCTCTCCAGGGGTATGGTGGGGATTATATTAACATCAACAATTATCGGCTGGTGCAGTTTCTCCGCCTCAAAGATCTTTATCTCAGCGTTGGCCATGGATGGGCAGCAGTTGTTGGTTGCTTACCCCTGTGCTTTGCTATATGGGGTCTTTGCACTCATCTCAGTCTTTTAAAAAAAAAAATGTTTGCACATCAGTTTAAAATAACTGCTCCCCCGTTTCTGTAATTCAGGTGTAATTAGCGTCACTGTAATTAGTGTAATTATTGGCTAATTACACAGTTGCTACAGAAAAATGGGAGCCTCCTCGTTTGAATGGCACCAAGGATTCTTTTTTTTTTCTTTCAAACACTTCCTTTCACCACATTCCGACCTGAAGTCATGAAGGCTGGAGTGGATCGTAACATCTAGGAACCCTCTGCAGCTTGTTCCCGTCATGCATCCTAAAGAAGAGGACTGTTGAGTGAACCTAATGGAAAATAACTGCTGCGGACCATTTCTACCCCTGTATGCCATCATTCAGTTAATGATTGTCTTTATTTTTTCGCATAGGGACATGAATGAAATAGAAGTTGACAATGGAACATCTAGGAAGTATATTTTATTTACACACAAGAGAATAATTCTCATGTTTTATTTAGAAGAGGGGCCGAGAAACAAATGTCACTAATTATTTGTATGAAGAATGTTGAGATTTTTTAGGCAAACGGCCACAGGATCTGAAATGGCAACTCTAAGGGAACGAACCTACTTTCTCACTAAATTAGTCTACAGCTGTTTGTGCTGCTTTCCTTCAGTGGATGTTTTCCTACTCAAAATTTTTTTAGGATTTAAGACTGAGAAGAGCCATGGATCATCTTTACCAGAGAGAGATCAGCTCAACTGCTTGTTCTGAACTTTGGTATTTGCACAGGATTGAAGTAATTCTCAAAGTAAAAAGATAAATAAATAAATAAACCAGGATATGATTTTGTGGGTCTGGATGAAACTCCAGATAGACCAGTTTCTATTGACATTTCTCACTTAATTTAGAGACTCCTCTCTTTGTATGCTTTGTGTATTCTGTACATGTCTTATCCACATTAAAGTTGCTTTTGAAAGTTGTGATTACAAGGTGCTTTATTTAGTCATGGTGCTTGGAGTTAAATTAAAGACAAATTCACTGGAGGTTAAGGTGTAATTTAAGATGTGGTCCGTTTACTGTTTGTAACAAAAGAACAGCCCATGGATGCTTGAATATACATTTTAAATTAAATGTTAAATGTATGTTAAAGAAATAACATCTTGACCAACTTTTGTAAAAGCAATTTTATAGATCTGAGTAAATAATATACAGGCTTTGGTCCACATGGTGGTGGTGTTTGGCATATTGTCAGTTCAAAGCAATAATTTTAAATGATTTGATTTGATAAGAAAAGACAAACAGAAAATTAACCAGCATTAGGTGGAAGAAAACAGGAAATCTCCACCTTAGCTGAGCGTTAATCTGAAACTGCCAGTAACAACTGGAGGAGCGGCAAAAAAATAAGTGAGGATTCTGTTACCAGAACCAGTTAAAGTTGTTCAAAACAATCAGTCTTTCAGACAAAAGTAACACAAAACCATAAGGCCCATTTCATGTTTGCCAGAAGTCATGAAAGCCAGTATTTACCCTGTATGACCTAAAGATAAAAGGGTTAGTTGGATTTAACAGCACGTTAACACTGATGCCATCATGTTTCTACAGTTGTCTGCCAATTTGCAGCTTATTTCATTTGCAGAATTGTAGATCTTTATTCTTTCAGACTTGTTTTTTCATTTACCATCTGCAAACATTTAAGGTTTATTTACTTTGGGCATTCCATCACATCCGTCACATTTTTACAGTCACCTTCACAGTCTATAAAAGGGTTAGGGTTTGCACTTATTGGTAGAAAATAGTGCAAACAAGTCTATCTATATACATATACATACATTCATACAGTACATATACTGTAGAAATATATATACAAGCACTGCATCTGCCACATTGTATGCTCCTCCTAGACAATGTAAAGTTAATAGACCCAGTTTAATATTATACTTTCCACACAGATCAGAAAAAATTAAATATTCTCATTAGATGTTGCATTTGCAACAAGCTGCCACTGGGTGTCAGTGTTTAGCTTGTTTTCGTTCCATCGGTTTGTTGTTTTTTTCCTTCTATTTACTGGCTACAGGCTGATATTTCCCCAGAGCAATGACTAAATCTCGACTTCTTTTTACATTAAGTCAGAATGAAGAAATTTACAGCCCGCTGTAGACCAGTTTAACTCCAATAAGAGGCCAAACCCACCCACCTTGGTAATCATGCTTTGAGTTCTTGCTTGTTACTAAGTTATTTGCTGTTCTTTGTGTCTGGTTCTGCTTTTCAAAGGATTTTGTAATAAACTGTTGGATGCTTATTTTTTTAAATGTTTCTTTCTCTGCAAACAGCTTAGTGAAAAATACTATGAGGAACAATGTTGATTTAAATTAGAAAATTAGGATAAAGTACACCAGAGAAAATCAGTTGTATTTACCGGTAATTGAAATAATGATTTTGGCAGACTCAGAAAATGAGTTAAAAGATATACATGCAGGACATGCATCCCGATTTAGGATCAACAGATTGTTTTGTTTGAGTCTGGGAAAAGGGACCACCATGGCATTATGTCATCTAATGGGGGATAATCTGACTTCCATCTGGCCAGAGTGACTCACGGCTGTCCCGCCCTCAATGAGCTGGCCTGGCTGACCAGTGGACAGCAGCTAAGCATGAAGGAGGGAACATTCTAAAATGGTGAGATAAAAACTCTAAAACAGGGAAGACACCTTCATTAATTACTGCTTGATTTACACCTTCATTGGAGAGAAAATAATTCCAAGGTCAAGAGTAGTCTGCAAATTTAAAACTTCTTAAAATTGTTTGCATAACCTAAAAGACTGCTCATTAAAGCCACAAATAAAATCAAGATTTTTCTTATTTTAAACAGACAAAAAAGGTAAATGGTATTTTGGTAATAATTTATTTGGAGACTATTAAACTTCACATTGTCAACCTTAAGTTTCTTTGAGCCTTTTAGGCAGATTTGTGCAAAATGATAAAGAATACCGCAGATTTACAGCTAAAAAGAAGACTAACTTTACATAACAAAAGACCAAAGGAAAGTGTTATTTATGGAAGGTGAAGAATAAAGCAGTTTGGAATTATTTGAAGAAATTTATATATATATAATTTCTGCTAAACATCAAGGCCCGCTTTGAAACCTGTTGAATAGCCGTCAAAGTGAAGCTGCTGTTATTCTTTAATGGAAAGGCAAAACTTAAAGGGCTTGCAAATTATGAAACAACTCCATAATTAGTAAAGCATTGAATATGTTATAAACCATTAATAGAAAGTGTCAGTGCAGTGTTCAGAATGTGAGACGAAAACCTTGCCATAAAGTCTGGAAGTATAAAAACCCTGCTATAACTACCTTATAACTGCTTTATAACTCTTTCCTGACAGCTATAAGTAATACCTTTTCATAATTGTTTATCTGGCTTTAAAAGGAACATTTTCCTTTTAGAAAAGTTTGGTTTTAAATAAAATGCACTTTGTATGCCTAGTCCCCAAAGATTCAAATAAAAACCACAAAAAACTGCCGCTGTTCCACAAATATATTTATTTCTGATAATAGAACAGATGAGACTGCATACGGCCAATACTTAAAGAATTAAGCGCTGATTTTTAATCGGTTGGATGCACCAAAAAATAAATAAATAATATCCTCACAGAAATTAGGCTGATCAGGATGTTACCTTTGCTGAGACAAGCGACTCACTGAAATATAATGATTGGTATTCAGCAACACTGCACCACCTTTTAGTACATCTACAAAACCGACAGCGCATGAATATTCACTGAGCAACTGTTATCACAGCACTGAGTGTGATTTTCTCCTGCACTTCATTAGGCTAATTGTCAGCCTTCATTGCACTGTGGACTCATCTAACTGTGGATTCAGAACTCAATGAACTAATGCAAACATTGCAGAGTCTGAGGTGAAGGAAGATGGCTGATATGTTCATGAGCGTGTGGATCAGTCAATTTCTAATCATGGCTGCTTCATTCGCTCCAGCTCGAGCTGTACTTTCGGATGCACATACTTGTTTTTTTTTGTGTTAGGGGTGTGGACTCAAAAAACATTACTCTAAATAATTAAATGAATATTTATCCAAGTAAAGATACCGGTACTCAATTTTTGATCAGATAAGAGGGAAAGTTCAATCCCCTCTGCAAGAGCTTCAACAGTGGCTTGTTACAAGCAACTTCTCAGTTAATAGGAGATTTTTAGAGAATACCTCGGATCATTGTCCTGTCAACAGATCCTCTCCTCTGAAGTGTCAATCATAAAAAGTAGCTTATTTAATCTGACCACATTTAATCTAAACAATCCTTTTAGCTGTCTTAATGATTTTACTTCAAAAGATTATTCAGCAGGTTGTAGCAAAAAATAAGCAAAACATATAATTTATCATCTATTTATTTGTCCATTGTTTTTATCTTCTAATACTTGTGTACATATTTATGATTTTTCTTGTTTTAGTGTCAAATTCAGGTTTAGAGAATGGACCTGAAAGTAAAGGAATAATAAAACTGGTTTTCGTTTTTAGCGTTTGCTTTAAATTCTTCACACGGATTAAGCTGCAACATGGAGCATCTGCACAGGACGGGGAATCCATCTGGACCAGCTGGGGTTATTCTCATTCAAAATGCATAGCATAGGTGTGATAATTCAAAACGGGAGCATTTAGTTACAGCTCAGAGGAAAACAATCTCCTAATTAGCTGATGTCATTGGTGCTGTTTTTAGCAGAGCTGTGAATCATCCTGTTTGTCTTTTTCCTTTAAACTTTTGTTTAGATGTTTTTTTGAAATCGTCCCAAACAGCTTTTGACAGGCTGTGCTGCAGCTTAGTAGAACTGGATTTGCTGGCTGGACAGAATGTCAGGTTAAAAGTATACAGTCAATATTGTCAAGCATTTTTTACGAGATTGTGAGCACTTTAAGAATAATTTATAATGTTTATTAGGGCTGCAACTAATGATTATTTTTGCAAATTGATAAATCTTTTGATTATTTTTTTGATTAATAATAGTTTCTTAAAGATTTTTTTTATGAAATTGAACCAGGTGAAACAAAAAGTTTTCCACAGGAGTTCTTGATAGAGCATATCGATAGCCAAAAACTATGTTTTTAATCCTGTATGTATATGTAATCCTGTAAATGTATATGTATATATATATATATATATATATATATATATATATATATATATATATATATATATATATATATATATATATATATTATATTTATATTTTTTATGTTTATATATATTTCATAATGATATTATTGAGATTATATCATGATTTGATATAACTACTGCTCTAAGTGGGTTTCTCTGTCAGCTAAAGGCATGTTTTACAGTCTCTACTCCAATTAACAACTAATTGATTACTAAATTAGTTGACTAATATTTCAATAACTGATTAATGCAATTAATTGTTTAAGGTCTGAATTATGTTGAAAAAACTTTTTAAGCCTACCGAAAGGACTTTGCTTCCGAGTCAGTTCACCTACATCTAAATATACTATAGTCAGAATTTATATTGCCAAATTTGATTTACTTTGAATTGCCTAAATATCAGTTGAAGTTATAATGGAGGGCCTTGGTTTAGAGGATGGAGTATTGGCTTAAAGAGAGCTATAAGGCCATTAAAGTGTTAGTTTTTTTAATGAAATTTGTTTTTAGGGGTGTTACACCTTAAACAACCCCATTAAGCTGTATGCTAGAACCTTTTATAAGTGTCCAAATGATAGCAACAAAAGACCAGTGATTTAGTGTTTTGATTTATAAGTTGTCAGTGATGGGCGGAGCTAGATGGGGGACCTGGGGTGGCCAAGGCCACTCATTGGCCTCACCTGTCCTCTACCCTACAGGGGGATTTGTTAGTCCCATGTGGATTCAATTTACAAACTCCAGAGCAAACAGTTCTTATTTAAACCAGAGGGGGGCAGCAATGATACTCCTCATTGGGAACTCCTAATTTGACATTTTGATT